GGGCCAGGCGGCCACGTGGGCCTGCAAGAACCCGGCCCTGCTGTTCTGCCGCGACGGGCGGCTCGACACCCCGTCCGACACCGCCCCGCCGGCCAAAGCGGGCGCCGCGGACACCAGTCTCTGAAGCCGGCAGGGACCGAGTGGGAGAGACCTGCCTGGCGTCGTCCGGCTCGGGATGCCTGAAGTAGACCGGCCGAGGACGTCTGTGTGCGTCTGGCCAGGGACGCTGGGATTAGCCGGTCTGGGATGTCTGGACTAGTTTGGCCGGGGCGGCCCGAATTAGACTGGCCTGGGGACACCTGGATTAGGCTGCCCAGGGCTGCCTGGCTAAATCCAAGACGTTGCCCGAGACCTTGTGAACTAGACTGGACAAAACAGTGAGAAATAGGGAGCGATCTTGTCCCCTGCAGAAGGATGGGCTCAAATTGTTGGATTAGGCTGGCCTGGATCAGTCTGGCCTCCCTCGCTTGGGACGTTGTGGACCAGACAGCACTGGGAAATAGGGACCGATCCTGCCCCCTGCAGGAGGATGGACTGGGAGGGCTGGAGGGGCGGTTTTTCCCGTCATAAGGTTTCTTTCTTCTGTTTGCCAGCATGGGAGATGGAAAACGCCTCGAGGGACAGCTGTGTGATTTCAGCATCTGGGAGAAAGGGGCCCACGTGCCAGCCCAGGGAGCTCTGGAGAAAAGGTGGCAGCCATCGCTTTGTGCGGCTCATCCCCAAAGGGCAAAGAGTGCCGGGAGGAGGGTGAAGTGTGCCCCAAGCTGGCTACCTGCCAGTGACTCACTGCTAAGTAAGTGCCAAAACGCCAAAATACTGACTACTGACACATCCCACTGTGAAACTGCATCCTGGCAGGAGACGTTGCTTTTCCCTGTTAGGTGCGGACAGCCTCGAAGCTCTGGACTGTGGTGACACGCAACAGTGTGAGGAGGATCAGTGTTAAATCACAAATGATGCAAAACAAATGGAGGTACCTGCAGACTTAAAAAAACACAAGGGCCACGTTGTTGAGGGGGAAGTGGGAAGGTGGGAATGAAGTGCGAATGCCGTGGGAAGCCGAGGACAGCTGTGTTGGGGTGTGCGAGCATTTGGTCAGTCGATGAAGTACAGGCAGTCCTCGGATTTATGACACAACTGGTTCCTGAAAACCGTGTCTTAAGTGGAAACGTTGTAACTCAGAACCATTTTCCCATGGGAAACAATGTTATAAAAGGGGGACTGGTTCCTGAAACAAGGCCCGATACCCTATTTTCACCAAAAATAATCCAGAATTTTGTACTCAATCAATTATAGATGAGCAATTTAGCTACATACTGTATTTGTATTGTAAATAGCAATCGTATTGATTTGGAAGGATTCTTTGAGGTGACTTGGATGGACATTTTGAAGGGCTCTTGGCTGGAGTCTTCTCAGGAGTCCTGGCTGCAGGGTTTTCTGGAGTCTTGTCTGCTTTCTTAAGGAAAGTGTCCAAGGAAGTTTGGACAGATGTTCTCCAGGGAGATGGGCGACGCAGCAAACTTGTTTCAGATCAAGCGTCATAAAGTCGAAACTGATGTCAGAAAGTTGAAACGGTGTCAATTTATAAAAGTTGTAAGTGCTGTTCATTGGAACTTGAAACGTCGTAAGTCGAGGACTGCCTGTATTACAAATGTAGGAACGGGGTCAGGCATCGGATGTGACAAAGCTCAGGACAAGGCAAGGTACAGGTTTGGAAGAGATGTGACATCCAGCGCGTGTGCGTGGTACAAGCTCCCTGCTCGAGATGGACAAAAGCTGCTAATATTTCATGCTGTTGAAGCATATTTGTGTAAGGCACTGGGGAAAGGCATGTATTGTGTCAAAGGGAAGAGAGAGAGCGAGCGCAATCATGGACCTTGTGCGTATTTCAGGGTGTAAAAAAGTGGCTTGAATGGCAGGCATTACTGTGCTAATTGTAACACTCAGCAGACCCATTAGCATTTGAAACCTGGTTCTGATTGCCAGGATCAGTACTACTGAGAAACAAAACAGCTTCAGTGAAACGCACATCCAGTTCTCTCTGGATTTATACTTTTGTCCACAGGCTCAGGATCTCAAAGCCTTAAATTAATACTTTTATTTGGAAATAAACTAGAATTTTGGCCGCCTTTGCCCTTCACCAGATTTAAATCTGAAAGGGTAGCCAGTAGGTTTCCTTGTACCATATTTCACAATATCATGGTATCATTGTTTTATCAGCTTTTTCAACTGTTTGTGACTCAAGCGAATGTAGATCATTATTTTGTGAGACAAGAGAAATAAATGGTCTTTTATGCAAGAGAGAGGACTGCTTCTGCCTGTCATTATTGCAAACTAAACATGCCAGGAGAAAGAAGTGAAAAATAATGCCCATGCTAATGATACTGAAGCACAATTTAAGTGCAGAGGAAATGTTAAATATTGGTGCATTTCTGGCTGCTTTAATTACTATCCTGTTCTATTTAGGGCTTTATCAAGTTCTGGTTTAAGTCTGTAGCAGAGAAATACTTCTGTGGTGCTGACGTTTGCACGTGGATACTCTGATCTTGCTGAGCATACAGTGGTTTAGTAGTTGCGTTGAGGCAGACTAAGATTTCACCTCATTTTACAAAGGCTAACTGACAGCCAGCAGGTGGTTACAGCTTCTCATAGAGATAGACAAGGTGCTGTCTCCCCTGCCGGTGAATCTTAATGTCCACCAATATGCATTAGCCCCTGTGTCTGCAGTAAGGTGCAGATTCTCAAATTGGCTTGAAATTAGTCAGTTTGGGTCTTGGTAGCAGTCCACAGGAGCATGGAGTAATTTAACCCCAAGAACTAAATGGGCTTTTAAAGTCTTCTCTGTGAAAAGCCTTTGCTGAGGCCTCAGTACTAGTTCTGGATTTTGTAGAACGTTTTATCGGATTTATGCATTTGAAAAAAAAGGGAGGCTTGCTCTGGCTCTGTTGCTATATTATAAATGCATGTGTAGGCATAACATGGAAGAGTGGATAGGGATGAATAAAGTCTCGGGATTGAATATTCCACCTAGCAGTTTCCTCTGTGGTGTAAGCTAATAGAAATTGCAAGCACACCTCTCCCCAAAACAGCATATTCCATGCTGGGACATTGCCTCACTGTTGGCTTGGGTTGCTGTTGCACTTGAGACATTAAATATCCCATGGCAAGATCTCTAGGAACAGGGGTGTTAGTACTAGGAGCTGGCCACATCCCAGCAGCGGGAGTTCCCTGCTACCTCCTACAGCCTCCCCTGGACTTCCCGTCCAAAATGGTATGTTAAACCTTTGTCTCAAGTGGTATTGCTCTGTGCTCGTAATGCCATTGGCAACGCATAGGGGGTGCACGCGGGTGCATGTGCACCCACTGAGATAGGCAGCGCAGCCCCTGAAAGAAGCACTGCCAGCGGTGTCGGCGGTGCCTGCGAGCAGTCACCTCTCCCCGCCGCCACCACCATGGCCACCTGCAGGAGCTCCCCACTCACTGCCACCATGCCTCTGCTGCCAACACTGGCACTTGTGGGTGGTCGCCGGGCCCCCCCCCAGCCTCCAGGGGCACGTGTCATTCATGGGTAATGCACTGATGCAGCTGTGCTCTTTTCCCATTTAAGACCCCAGTTGCTGCAGTCCTGACATAAGACGTGCTTTGCTTTTGAGTCCCGCTGGCTACCACTGGGTATTAAGCATGAAGCAGGCACCAGCCTGCTCTGGTCTGAAGTGGATCAGTGCAGGCCCAGTGACAGAAATGTAGGCCCTGGAGGAATTTGTTGGCGGAAACTTAGGCATCAACAGCATTTAGTCAGTGCCAGGATTAGGTGGGTCTTTCTGATGCCACCTGAAGCTTGTAAGAGATTTGTATGGGCAAAGTGCAAATTGTGCAGATGGAAGGTTTGGATAGGGGCAACCCCACTTCAAGCAGGGGGCTGAATGACTAGATAACTACCTAAAGTCCCTTCCAGTCCTTTTTCCCCATAATTCTGTGATTCTGCAATGCAAGGCTGAGGCTCCTTTGCATGAAACACTGATGTTCTCAGAAGTCGGACGTGAGGATTCTTCACCTGGTCATTTTCAAAGCAGAACCACCAGCTAATCTGATAAAAATAAAGGGCATGGTATGCTCAGGCTAAGCAGGGAGGCAGAGTTCAAACGGACGTACCATTTGAGCTACAAATTCTTGTGATAGCCAAAGCCCTCAGCCATGGGTTAGTTGACCACATGTGGGACTCTGGGGTCACCAGTAACTGACCACAAGATGCATAGTCAGTGCCATGCAATGCCATGCTACCTCATCTAGCACAAAGAAATCTAATCTCTGATAGTGGTAGTGACATATTCATCTGTTTTCCTGGGAAACCATTCTCATACCGCTGCTGCCTCCTATACATCTCACTTCCTTGTCGGATTTTTTTGGACTACAAAATCACTGTCTCTAGTATTTATAGAGAATGGAATGGCTCCAACGGGAGAGTTGTTGAGAGATCCACAACAGAATGGCTCAATGGTCAGAGCACTGATAAGTGATACAGGAGAATGAGGTTCAAGTCCCTGTTTCTAAAGAAAAAAAAAAGGCAAAGTAGGGATTTGAACCTATTCCCCCTGAGGGCTTTGGTGTCTAACCCCAAGAGAAGGGCTGAATATCCACCACAAAAGGAGGCATCTACCTGGTGACAGAGCAGTCCCTTCTGGTTAACTTAGATCAGTGGTGCTCAGAGTACCCCAGGTCTGGAAATGTGGCAACAGGTGAGCAGTTGCAGTGTTAATTGCAGCAGCTCTGGGAGTCCCTGGCAATTAACACAGCCACCTCTCCCCTGCCGCAAAACTTCAGACCCACGGGAATTCCCAGAGGCTGGATGCTGTGGCCCTGCGTGCTGGAATGGGTCAGTGCAGGGGGCTGGGCTGCAGCCAGACCCAATGCAAAAGGCTGGACTCGGTGCTTAGTCCCAGACCCAGTGCATAATGTCTGATCTTGTGTTCTGGCACACAGGGCAGGTTTGTGGCCCTGGCCTGCCACTCATCCTGCATGTGGGCTAGAAAGGTTGAGCCCTGCTGACTTAGATGTTCCCCGTTCAGTGAGCTTCCAAGGACCCCTCCTTAGGCACTGAACTCTTGCCATGCGGTGCGTGGGGAGCCCAGACACTTCACTTGGGGCTGCACGTTCCACTAAACAGCAGGGCACCCAAAATCCGGACACTGCAGAGCCTACATGTGTTTGAGACTCTAGCCCCAAGTGAAAAGGAGATTTAAGCTCCATGTCATTCAACTGCTTTTCAAAAAAACAGAAGATAATGTTCATAAAGCATCTTTTTGATTTAGATGGTGAATATGCTGTCTGCAATAATAAACCTGATGCACTATGTTTTAGAAGAGAAACGTTCAGCTCTGAGGCGTGTAAAGCACTTCAAAATAAAACTGATGGTACTACTCCCATGGAAATCAATGGTAGTTTTACTCTCACTTTAACTGGTGAGCTGTTCAATCCATTCTTTTTTTCACACTCAGTCCAAAGGAAACTCTTTGTGGGCCAGTTATGAAGCATGACAAACTGCAAGTGTATAACTAAAGTCTAAAAGGAGTGACACAGCTTGCAATCCTCCTCCTCATAGCTAAATACATCCAGTGAACTGTATAACCATCACCCGTTTTATTCCAGCACTATTACTGGTCACTGTATTGTTATGTTTTATTAAGGATATAAAATACAGTATTACATTCATGAATTTTTACCCTATCAAACATGGGGCAAACCCTATGTAGTCGTAGTAAGCAAAACCTATCAAAGTCTCTACCTTGTTGATAGAAATTTCATTAAAGATATTCTGGAAAAGGCACAAAAAATGTAAAGCCACTCACAGACGTCAGGGCTGCTTTTTATTTGAAACCTCTCCCTAAGAAGGAAAGCATAGGTAAGCAACCAACACCGAGCATGCCCTGACCTTTAGCTTAGTGGATCTGTTGAACAGGCTGTCATGAACAATTTGAAAGCACATCAGACAAAGGGCCTCTCCTGGTACGCTGGGAAACCTCTATGCTGCAAGCAGCTTCGAGATATGTCTGCAGAGCTGGAAAGTCAAGGGCAGATCCTTAGCTAGATACTTTGATAACCCGTGTTAGCACAGCTGTAGATCTGGCTCTTTGTCTCAAATCAGTTGAATTTGTGTGGGGGGCCTAAAATTATAATGCGATGTCTTCAAATCATTGTATGCAAGTACATTCATTATTCTAGAGTCATAGACAAGTAGGGCTGGAAGAAACTGCAGTAGGTCGTCTAGTCCTGCCCTCTGCTCAAGACAGGATCTCCCCATCTCTAAACCGTCCCCTACCAGGGTTTGTCTAGTCCAGTGGTTCTTAACCTTACTAGACTCTCAGAAAATGCCAGCTCTCATCTTTCACTCTTTTTTT